GTGGCTTTAAACCTGAAGGAGGAGATATTTATGTTAGATATTAGGGACAGAATTCTTGGCTGTGAAGGTGGCCCTGGCACAGGTTGCCCAGAGAAGCTTCCTGTCCCTAGAAATGTTCAAGGCCTTGTTGGATGGAGCTCTGAGCAGCCTGGCCTGCTGGAAGGTGTCCCTGTCCATAGCAGGGTGTTGGACTGAGATAAGCTTTTAAGGTACCTTCCAACCCAAAGAATTCTATGATTCTGTCAAATTTTGAAGCTACCATGTTTGGAGTGTTTCACTTTGTGAGCCTGTTGCTAAGTCCTGCAGTGAGGCTTCTAAATTGCAAACAGTTCAAAAGTTCTGACTATTTACACAACCAACTAGATGAACCTGTTTTGCCTGAGATCCAAGAGTAATTTTACTTGGATCCTATGATCAGCTTAACTAAAAGTTTGTGTTAGACATATTACTGCTGGCCAAGTAACCTGACATGCTAAGGGAACAGTAACAGCACAAGAATGAACAGTCTCCAGTGCTGGTACAGTCCTGTGTTTTAGTGTAATAGTTTGGGATTGAAGTTCATATAAGTTCTTGAGCTCTCTTTTGGTGGTGTGTTTTGAAATTTAAAAGAAAGAACTTTCTTCACCAGGTGAAATGATGACTTGGTAAAAAATTTTATTGCAAGAGAAACATCCAATTATCCTGTTTTCATAGCAGGTTAGATTTTGATTTCTGTCTTCTGCTTTTTTCCCAGCATTTAAAAATCTGTTGCCTTTACGCTTACTAAGCAAATGTAATAAATCTGCAACAGGAATATGAAATATATGCATTCATAATGTAGTCTTCTGTTGGAAAATTAATCCATGTCATTGATTGTTCTGTTTCTATATTTACCTCTCCTGCCTCCTTTTTAGGGAGCACATCAAGCAGATCATAAAGCTTCTAGCAAGTGTCCGAGCCCTGGATCATGCCATTACTGTTGCAAATGATCACAATGTAAAAGAGTTCAAGATTCTAATAGAAGGAAAATAGACTTTTACCACCACTCATTTTGAGCTTTAAAACCATTCCTGATGTGTAATTTATGTACATATGTAAAGTTTCTTAAACTGTAAAGTATTGATCTTTGTTTTAATACAAAGTGCATTCTTATATACAGCATCCTTAAAAATAAAATCATTGACTTCATTGAAAACAGAAATGGAATCCCAAGGTTGTCATCTTTCTAGAAACCAGATTTTCCCTCAGGTTTCTCAAAATCTTGTTCACAAAAATACTTTGTGCCCTTAATCAGTGGTCATCTACTCCTGTTAATTGTTCCATGGTTAACTGGAATGTATAGAATAGATTGTGTAATACAATGTATGCATATATTTATACCACCAATAAAATGATCATATTATTGGTCAAAAGGGGTGGTAAAAGATTCAAATATGTGAAAAGTCACAAGTTGAAGAGTAGGGACACATTGAAGTGGATCCTGACCTTTAAAAAGCATCTGTGCACTCCAAGTGGAGTAAGTAAAAAGTGATGTGCATACAGAATATGGAACTCTTATAAGTGTTCTTCAAAAGAAAGATCTGCATAAATGGTCAAATTTTGGTTTTTTATACAGGCAAACACTGAGAATTTGTGATTATTGTGCATGAGATGGTGGCACTTCCTAAGCTCAAACACCTTTCATTTTGTAGGACTAATGATTTACCTATGAATTCTGGACCCTCCTTCCTTTTTTGTGTTGCTTAAGTTGTATCAGGATTTTGGGGGGCAGGGTGGGGGTTGGGTTTGGTTTTTTTGTTTGTTTGCTTTGGATTTTGGTTTTGTTTTGTAATGTCATTCATGGAACCTATTTCTTCATATTAGAGTGGCTGAAGATACGGAACAAAA